AGGAGTTAGGAACGCAACTTTGCCTTTCGGAGATTTTTACAAGTTAGAAACAAATAGATTATTTATTTTTGTGTGTATTATTAAACTATCACATGTCTGATTGTTCTTACAACTGTCTGATGCAAATCAAAATGTAAATAGGTTGGTCCTGAGTACGCAAGATATTGTGGTATAGAGGCATTGGAGCCCCTGGGAATATACCTGCCCGGGGATATAAATTATCCAGGTGGTGTGTTGTTTGATCCCTTGAACCTGTCCAAGGATGCTGCAGCATTTGAGGAACTGAAGGTAAAAGAGATTAAAAATGGGCGGTTAGCCATGGTTGCCTGGCTAGGATTTTACAGTCAAGCAGCATTGACGGGTAAGGGACCAGTCCAAAACCTTCTCGAACATATTTCTGATCCTTTCCACAATAACTTCCTTTCCCTGCTCAACTCTTGGTAAAGTAGTTAATCATCGGAATGTTTATATAATATAGATATAGTTTCTTCAAATCTGTAAAGTGTTCATAGGGATGGACAATGTATCATATGGGTGTTCTAGATGGGTGGTTATTGCTGAACGAGTTGATACTTGATATAGATGGGTGGTTATATCTCAATGAGTTGATACTTGATGATGTGGTTATTATATCTACCTTATATATCAAGTATCTTTGAAAAGTTCATAGTGTGGTGATGCAGAAAGTTTAGATGAGGTAGAAAATGTAGGATAAGGATTCAAGTAAAGGGGCGTTAATTAATTTTGATATGGAGGTAGAAGTGAAAGTAGTTAGAGGCGTTTGTGTGAAATGGGTGATGAAGAGGGAATAATTAGGAGTGTTAATGAAGGTTATAAAGCTGTGGGGAAGGGAAGGGAAAGGATGTTGTGCTGACACGGACTTCCACTGGCACCCAAGTCAAGTTATGTGATTGGGAATGGGATGGGTCCATTCCAGTCCAACCGGGACCTCCATTGGCATGCGAACCAACCCACGCTTCAACGTGGTCCTCTGCCTTCTTCTATCACCCTTTTTCGTTGCACTTGCACAATTGGATCGGCTTGGCTTGATGATGAGGCATGGTTATGAATGATGTTAAATTATTAGGAGACTTGTAGAAGATGCAGAGATTGGGTAGCGATGAAGATGATGGGTGTTAATTTCCAGGGAAGGGAACGAAAGTCCACCCCACGTTACGCGTTTCTCTCTCCTTTCTTTTGTCAACATTGGTTTGTTAGATTAGACCTAAATAAAGAATCAAAGATGAACAGCTTCTTCTCTTCTCTCTCTACTAGAGGGTGAGGGTATCCAAATTTCTAATAATAATCCCACCGCCACCGACACTATCTTGTTTCTTAAGCGTCTGATTCGAATCGCGCTTACTAGGTCTACTGTTGGTTCGGGTGAAAAGGCATGTATTCTAGAAACACGGACTTGTCAAAACAAAACCCTCCATTATTTTAATTCTACGCACTGAATCCCACCAATTCATATTCATCTAATCAACATTCTTCTTCTTTTTCTAACTTTACGTATGTGCTCCATTAAATTGCAAAATTTTTCTCAGTATTTTGAATATTGCAGAAATGCCTAACAAATTTTCAAAAAGTAACACCCGATCCTCCTAATAACTCTAGTCTTAGATTTGTCAATTCAAAGTCTTTTGATGGGGTGAGGGGTATTGAATTTTAATTTTGTTCTGATTATTCATTTTAAAATATTGGATCATGCAAAATTTTTAATCTAAAACAAATTTGCATAAATTATGTCACAGGATGGGTAAATACGTAAGAAAGCCACACTAATAAAATTTGGTGGATTTGAAAAATAGGCATTTTTTTACCACTCTTATACCCTTTCCAATTTAGCCACTGTTGTTTCCTTCGTAATTATTTGACGTATCAAAAAAATATGTTAGTTCATACCTTTCATGTGTATACATTATGGAGATAATTTAAAATCAAGCAGGAGAAACAAATATTGTACCATTTTGCAAATTTTTAAATATTGGGCAAGTCTAAACAATAAAATAGTACACTGATTAGGGAAAATAATGCAATAAAATTAATTTATCACTCTGAACTTAACTCAACCGGTATTATCAACAAGTTGGAGGTTTAGATCCAATTCACATCTTGTTGAGCTAAAATAATAATAATAAATAATTAAAAATATATAAAATCAATTTAATTATAACATTTTATTTGACCATGCCTTATCAAATAATATTGTAAAATTATTGGACTTTTTCTAATGGTCCGAGTAATCCGGGATGTGAAGAATCAAAAAATAAGATTTTTTTTTTCTTTCATTGATTTTGAAATGTTTATGCATGTGATGGGTATTGGTATTTATCAAGATTTTGTTTTCTAATTGGCATATATATTTACAAATAATTTCAATATATAAGAGATTATTAATATATATATATATATATATATATATATATATATATATATTTATTTATTTATTTATCAATAAATAAAATAAAATACCTTTGCAAAAAAATAAAATAAAAATAAAATACCACTTTTATTTTATTTCATCTTAAAAGTATTTTCTTTTTATTTTCACGGGTTGGCCTATCACCATCTAGCCGAACTTGCTTTTATTCCAATAAATAATAAATAATAAATGAAATTATTTATTGAATTTGAAAACACAAAATCTTATTGAAAAAAAAAAGAAACAAAATTCTAATTTATTTCAATTTTCGGAAAATAAAATACGATACTAAATATCTCGTTTCACTGAATCATAGTTGAAATTGTTATAATTGAAAATATGTTAAAAAAAATATAGTAGAATTGAATAATAATTGAAAAATATCCTTTGCAAAAAATAATTGAGAAATATTAAGTAATATTTGTTAATTACCAAAAATAGATATTCTGTATTGTTTAAAAAAAAAAATCTGTATGCGAAAAGAAGAGCTTTACATAAAATTTGCCATTTATGAATAATGAATTTGGCCTAACAACAATCAACATTATTTTAACACCCATATATCTCTGGATTTAATCTGTCATTTATTTACTGTCCTCTTATTTTTGAGTTAAATGAATATTATAATAACAAAAAGAATAGGGATAGCCGACACTAACGTGGCCCATGTTACTGTAAATACCAGGGCATTTATTTGAGAAAATTATGCCACTTCAAAATAACAATACGTACTAAAACAAAACAAAAAAAAAACTTTTTAAAAATAAATAATCACGCTAGAAAGATAAAAGAGAGATTTGTTTAAGGGAGTAGATTTGATAAATTTGATTTGAAAATTGAAAAAATATTAGATTAGCATTTTGCAAGTAGAGGAGAGAAGACTAGTCTTTCTCTTTTCTTCTTCTTCTTCTTCCCTCCGCCAGCTGTTTGTTTCACTCTCATCTGCGATTCAGCCTCTCTCTGACCTTATTTCTCTTGTTTTTTTCCTTCTGTTGTTCAAATTTAATTTCCCCCCTCCCTTCCATCCCCATTCCCTGAATCAGTTCTCAAGATCTGCATCAACTATTTTCTACATTCATGTCTCCCACTCAGCTGATCTTCTCTACTTGATCTGCCGAATTCAACTCACTCCGCTTTCGCTTCCGGTAAGGTTTCTCTCTCTCCCTCGTCTTTTGAGATCTTGCCCTTTTCAACATTGCCTCACTCTTCTTACCTTTTCTCACTTTTCATCTTTTTCGCACTTTCTAATCTCCTCTCTCCTCCCTCCCCTTTTCTTCTCCTTTTATGTACATATTTCTGAACTCGATTCAATTAGCAATCTGTGATTGCGTTTTTTGAAGTTTTGAGTTGTTGAAAACACGATGATACCTGACATGGATGTGCGCGCCGACGTCTCTGAGGTTAACGAGAAGTGTGCCTTGGATATGAGTACCTACGAGAATTTGCCTAAAGCTTGCAATGCTGCATCCCTTGACTGTGCTACTGCCATTGCAAAGGATGACACCGATTGTTCTTACGTTTTCGTTAGCTCCACTGATGCTACTACTACCGATGATCACGATACTTCGGATCTCAATGGGCAAGCAAAATACTCTCACTCTCAGAAGGCCGATACGGAGATTAAGGTTCAGAATACGGAGATTATAAGCAAAATACTCTCACTCTCAGAAGACGGAAGAAAGCCCGAACAAATTCTTGTTGACGCCCATGTTTCTGATGCATTGGAAGATTCCCAATTCAAAATTTCTGAGAAAGTGAAAGAGAGTGACGCGATTCAGGATGAGATCAGAGTGGAGAATGTCCTTCAATCTTCTGACACCAAGGTGGATGAAGCGGAATCTGGAGTGGATTCTTCTCAAAAGATGGAAGAAACACCAACTCTGGAGGATCGGGCTATCAACGAATCTTTTGATACAGAGACAAATTCTGGTCAGATCCATGGGCTAGAGTCTCCTAAAGAAGTCGAAGACAGTCGAATTGAAGAGGAAAATCAAATAATTTCTACCTATGAATCTTCTAACACCGATGCAAGTCTTAGTGGAGAAATCGTGGTGGAGTCTTCTCAAATGGCGGAAGATATTCAAACTCACGAGGATAACGGAACAGCGGCAATCATGAAGTCTTCTGCTACCGAGGTAAATCATGGGATTAAAATTGAGGAGTCTTCTCAAAAGGCAGATGACACTCTAAGTTACAAGGAAAATGGAACAGTTGCAATCAAGTTTTCTGATACTATGGCAAACCCTGGGGAAGAAATTGAGGTGGAGTCTTCTCAAAAGGCTGATGACATTCAGAATAATGAAGAAAATAGCCTAGTGAAAGCCCCCCAGTTGTCTGTTACTGAGGCAAATCCTACGGGAGAAATGGAGGTAGCGTCTTCTCAAAAGGCAGCCGACATTGAGAATCATGAGGAAAATGGTATAGTGAAAGCCCCCAAGTTGTCCGACACTGAGGGAAATCCTAGGGGAGAAATTGAGGCAGAGTATTCTAAAAGGACAGACGACTTTAAGAATCAAGAGGAAAATGGCATGGTGGAAGCCCCCAAGTTATCTTATACCGAGATCAATCCTAGGGGAGAAATTGAGGAAGATATTGAGCTTAAGCGGCAACACGAAATAGTGAACGCCATTAAATCTTCAGATACTATGGCCAAACACGGGCAAGAAAGTGAAGTAATTCCCAAGGATAATGAGACAGTGCCTATTAGTGAATTTTCTGATACCATAAACAGCCGTGGTGAAGAAACTGAGATGAAATCTTTTGAGAGAGAGGAAGGCACTCAAGAATCAGAAGATGCAAATTTGGAGGCTGCCGACTGCAATTGTGTTGATGACAAAGAGAAGGTTGATGGGATGGAAAATAAATCCGCAATAAGCTACCCTGTTGAAGGAATAGGAGAATCTCAGGTTACTAGTATGGGTTCTGCTAAATCCAAGCTAGATCAGCCTGATGAGTCAGTGGCGGACATTAAGGGGGAATGCAAATTAGGGCCTGAATTAATTGAAGAAAACTCTGAGAGAACTCAAATTACAATTAGTCAGGATGGTGAACATTACCAGGTTGTTGGTGAGGAACTAGAAAGTTCAAACATTGAGGTTTCTCTTTTAGAACCATCAGAAGAAAATAAGGTGGACATGGAGCAGCATTTAGCTGCAGCTCCTTGTCAGCTGGTCAATTTGGAGTTAGAAGTAGAAGACGCAGATGCAAATGGTGATCAAGATGACCATTTGAAGACTGCTGATGGCAAAGACACTGTAACGAACAAGACCAGCTTCCATGACAACACTAAAACCTCATCTACCTCTGTTGATTGTGAGATTGCTATTGTTGAAACTCATAAATTATCTCCTACCATGCTTATTAGCGATCCAAAAGTAGAGGTAAATGAGATTACTGTGAACGGACAAGAGGTGAATCATGTACTGGAGCTAGAAGAGAATTCAGAAACTGCTTCCCATCCTAAAGTGGATGAATGTGTCAAGGTTAAAGTTTTGGAAGGCACAGCCTCTGAGAAGGGAGACCACATGCCCACTGCACTCAATGAATCTAGAGTTTCTGATGGTGATGACTCTGTTGCTAGCAGTCAACTAATCCCCGAAGGAAATGAACCAGTGGAAAGCATTAAAAAAACAGTATCTGCTGTTGGGATAGGGAGTGCTTCAGCTGAAATAAGGGAAAGGTCCTCTATACATTGTCTTAATGATCCAGTGCTGCAACCTGATCTTGAAGTTGAGGACTATACAATTTCCGAAAATGTGGCTTCTGCTGCTAATGATGTCCAACCAGATAAGGAAGTCAGTGGAAATCATGAAATTGGTCTTATTGGTAACTCAGAAACCAAGTGTGAGAACTGTCACATTGAAAAAGATAATCAATCAACTTTCCCTAGTAATGATATGGGATCAGAATCTAACGTTTATACTTCAATTGGATGTGAACAGATAGGTTCTACTGTTTCGGAAGTTCCTAATTGTGTCAATAAATCTTCTGTGATTCAACAAAATTCTGCTGATGATACAGACTCAGAATTGCATGATAATGAAAGTAGCTCAGTTCTATGTCCAACTGCTGATGAAAAATCAGGAGATGACATTGAGATTACATCTTCCATAGGAGATGCTAGCAGAGATCTGCCTGGCGATGATTACACTGTGTCTAAAATTGAGGTTCCCAAGGGTTCTCCTCTAAATGACGAAGGGAATCTGAACCTAATATCTGACAATGTCGTTGAAACTGACAATAAACCGACAAAAGAAGAATCTGAGGTCATTCATGAGGGTTGCCAGAATGAACCTTCATCTATTTCTCCAGAAGGTTCTGCTGATGCTTCAGAGGGGCAAAATGTAGGTGCTGAGGCAGCTACAAAGCCGTTTTACTTCTTGATTAGGGTGCCTAGATACGATGATGATAGTATAAGAGAGCAAATTAAGTGTGCTCAGACAGAAGTCGATCGGAAGACCAAGGATCGAGATGCCATTCGGGTTCAAATCCAGACAATGAGGGTAATAATAATCATTCATACATTTTTTACTGTTCAATATATATAAACATAATTTCATGGCTCAAATGGCTCTCTGATCAGGCTACATGGAAAGTGTTGAGTGATAATCTTGAAGCAGCTGTATCGGAAGGAAGAGCTGCACGAGACTTGCTGAAGTCAAAAAGAC